CTCCCTGGGGGATTGGGCCTAAGCTGGCAGTCAGACATCCCTCTGGCAGCCAGGGAGCCCTCGGGGGATGTCCACTTGCCAGCGGGGAGCAGGCCTAAGCTGCAGTTGGACATCCTTAGCACTGCTGAGGAGGCAGGAGAGGCTCCCACCACCACCACTGTACTGGCAGCCGTCAGCCTGGCTTGTGGCTGAGTAGAGTTTCCCCTGTGGGAGCACACTGACCAACAGGAGGCAGCTCCTGCATTGAGTGTCTGCCCCCTGGTGGTCAGTGTGTGTCATAGTGACCAGTCATTCCCAGTCATTCTGCTGTTAGGGTCAATTTGCATATTACCCTTTTATTATATAGGAGTGCCTGGCCAGCCTGGGTGAGGGGCTGATGTCTGTTTCCAGGCTGGCCACAGCCCCTTCAGTGTGGGGGTCCCCACTGGGGTGCCTGGCCAGTCTGGGTGAGGGGCTGAGAGCCATTTTCAGGCTGGCCACACCCCCTTCAGGGTGGGGGTGCCTTGCTGGGGTGCCTGGCCAGTCTGGGTGAGTGGCTGATGCCAGTTTTCAGGATGGCCAAGCCCCCCAGTGGGGACCCTCACCCCATGAGGGTGTGGCCAGCCTGGGTGAGTGGCTGTTGGCTGTTTGCAGGCTGGCCACAGCCCCTTCAGGGTGGGGGTCCCCACTGGGATGCCTGGCCAGCCTGGGTGAGGGACTGATGGCTGTTTGCAGGCTGGCCAAGCCCCCCAGCCACCCAAGCTCCCAGTGGAGGCTGGCTGGAAGCAGGTATCTGGGATTTATTTGTCTTCTATAATTGAAACTTTGTTGCCATGAGCGGAGGCCACAGCCGGCTCAGGACAGGCGGGAAGCTTGGCTTCCTCCATTCCCTGGGGAACCAAGCCTCCTACTTGCTCCAGCTCCGTGGCTGCTGGCCGCCATGTTGGCTGGGTTAATTTGCATATAATCACTCTGATTGGCTGGTTGGTGTGGCTTGGGGCATGGCAAAGGTATGGTCAATTAGCATCTTTGTCTTTTATTAGTGTTGATTAGAAGAGATCATCTGTTTGATCAGAAGTATGTTCATCAGGCTCATACAATTGGTTTGGTAAGCTGAAATAAAACACATAAGCATAGTAATTATCCATTACTTTATATTTGGGAAGTCAATAACTTAGACTAGTGCTTTTAAGCATTTCATTAGCAGAGTCACTGAATCTGATATTTTTAAGGATTTGTATCCAAAGTACAAATTAGTTTTGCTGAGGGTAATGTACTCTGTACTCCAGGCTTTCTTAAAATAGCAAAAACTAGCTTTCAAATCTACTTTGTTACTATATTAGGATCTCTATTCAAGAAGTTGATTGAAAAAATTGGTGGGGTAAGGAAACAAGATTGGACTGAAGACTGAAAGACATGATAAATGAAGTCAAGAATGGAGAAAAATTTAAGTATAGCTCTGATGTGGATCAGAGAAATCATTCTATAGCTACATCAGTAGGCAGGGTTAAAATTAGCTTTAATTGGGGGAAAATAGAGGATATTTTTATAGTGAACAATGGTCCACTAGACAAGGACAGGTTTGTAATGGAAGAGGGAGCATAACAAACAGCAACTGAATAGACAGAAAAGAAGCCAGTGAAACATGCATTTTTGAATGGGAGTGGGTAGGATAAGGTGATATTTCAGATATAGACCGTCTCTAGATAGGGCTTTGCCATCAGAGAATTTCAGGCTGTGGATAGATATTATCTGATTTACATTTAAAATATAATTCTGCTGCTGGAGGGAGAAATAATCTACACTGATAAAAGACAAAGATGCTAATTGACCATACCTTTGCTACACCCATCAGCCAATCGGGAGAGTATGCAAATTAACCCAACAAAGATGGCCATTAAGTTTGCATACTGCAGGTGGGGTGGCACAGCGCGAGCTGCTGCCCGCCCGCCACCATCCGGGCCTCCCGAGTGCAGCCCGGGGTGGTGGGGCAGGGCAGCATGCTCCGCTGCCTGCCCCAGCACGGTATCCGGGCCTACCATCTGCAACGCGGGGTGGTGGGGCGGGGCAGCGCGCTCACAGCCCGTCCTAACACGGGATCCGGGCCTGTCATCTGCGACCCAGGGAGCGGGCATAAGCCAGCAGGTGATTATCTCCCAAGGGGTCTCAGACTGTGAGAGGGCACAGGTCGGGCTGAGGGACTCCCCCCACACACCCCAGTGCACAAATTTTTGTGCACCGGGCCTCTAGTAATTAGAATATAATGTAGAAAAAACGGAAATGGAGGTTCTCGCTAAAATATAAATCATATTCACATTAAATTGGATTCTGGGGTTGTCGTAGAGACAAAAATCAACACATCCAATATATGATTGGAGTTAGTGTTACAAAGATTTATCATGGATTGGAAAATTATCGTGGGAAATAGAGGAAAAGCATAGTAGGCCTAAGATTTTTTACCTTGAGCCATTATATGCAGCATGACAGCACTCAACTGAGACCGGGATTTCTGACATTGGTTCTTAAAATCAATATTTAGTATCTATGTTTAAAATACCTTTCTCTTAAATATTTCACTCAAAGATTCACAACAATTTTGAGATGCCAACTAAATGACAACAAGCACACACCATCATGAAAAGATGCAAATCTACCAATTTTTTATACTTACAGGCAGGGGTCCTAAAACTACGGCCCACGGGCCACATGCAAATACAAATATTGTATTTGTTCCCGTTTTGTTTTTTTACTTCAAAATAAGATATGTGCAGTGTGCATAGGAATTTGTTCATAGTTTTTTTTAAAACTATAGTCCGGCCCTCCAATGGTCTGAGGGACAGTGAACTGGCCCCCTGTTTAAAAAGTTTGAGGACCCCTGCTTACAGGGATAAGGAGTTTTCAAAAACACATTGATTTTAATTATTAACAATATTATCTATAAGTAAATTCTTAGACTATTTTATGTTATTATCCAGGACCAATTCCTAGATAATTCAAAATGTATGTTTACA